ACATAGTAATGGGAAGAGGGACTGCCTCTGACATAATCTGATTGGCCTGCTCTTTGATCACCTCCCCCTGAAGGGGGAGCAGCCTTACCAAGCCACAAAAGATGACAATGCAGCCACTCCTGATGTGATGGGATAGACTAAGATCAGAAGGAAGGAGAGGAGGACTTCCCCTATAAGTGTACTTGAGGAGGGGCATGCGTGAATAAGGGGGAGAGAGGGTGAGTTTGGGAGGGGAGGAGAGTGGGGCTTATGGGGCGATACAAAGTGAATAAAGTGTAATTAATAAAAAAAATTTAAAAAAAGAATAAAAAATGGTTCTCTGATATAACCAAAGAAGAATGTTTTTGGGTGTGAGTAGTTCAGACTTCCAATCTAGTGAGTGATGATCAAGTACTTCAATAAACCTTGAGAAAGCCATTGACTTCAAATATCAGAGCTCAAGACTCAAAGTCACTGCTAAATTAGTAGATGGAGGAATGAATACAGTTCAGAGACGTAGATTTGAAGCTGTTTTTTATCACAAGCCTTGAAATGAATAGAAGCTCATGAAATGGCTAATTAATTAGTTAATTATTTGGAAGATAGCAGTTGGTGACTCAGGAGCTTTGGTGACTCAGGGATAACTGTAATTTTTCTTCAGTATTCCAAAGCATCACTCAAATAACCTTTGCTTTCCCCAGTGAATGATTTTGAGAATTTTCCAAACACTTACTGGCCAAATAAAAGTCAGCATCTCTTTAACTATCTGGCTAGAATTATAATGTGCAAAGAGAGGGGAAGGTTAGTTTTTAAAGGATGAGGTATTTTTAAACTGTAGGAGATGAAGTAACTCTGTTAATTCTTGGTTATTATTAATGAATGTAAAATATGAGTTACATGCAGGTATCTTTTATTAGGTTATCCTCTGAGCACAGGTCACCAACATGGCTATTGTCCTGATTTTCAGACTCTAAAAATGTATTCATATCTGCATTGACCGATGTTTGTTTGTGCTTTTCCCTTATAGTTTTGGGATATTCTGAAGACTGGATCTTCACAAAATAAACTTTAGGCTGTTTTAAGATATAGCATTCATAGCTACAAGAAATGATTATGAGCCTTTTTATAGCAGCTTTAAGAGTCTGTGGAGACTTCGGTTCTAAAGGATCGGAAAGTGAAATTCACATGTCTAACATTTGTCACTCATCTTCACCAGTATATTGCAACTCCTTCAACAATGAGCTAAAGATCTGCAAATGAGCAATTCTATGGATAATAAATGCCTGCAAAGCACATTTTCTAGGTCTGTTCATGCTTTCCTTGAAGCTGTATAGGTTTAATTCTTCTCCACATAATATATAGGAGTGCTTCCTAAGAGAATGATCTACTATTAAAAACTAAGGCTGCAACTTAGAATTGACATTTACTACATTGTAAGATATATTCTTGTTTCACCCTTATGGGGAAAAGTCCTGCAGCCAAGCCTTTTAAAATACAGTTTATTAATTCTTTGAGAATGTTATACAATGTAATTTGATAGTATTCATCTTTTCTCTTTCCCCAAACTCTTTCTAGATCAACCTCTCCTTCCTATCTCTCCAAACATCCTGTTATATCTTGATTTTTTAAATTAAATTTTTATTTTTTATATTAATTAAGTTTATTTACTTTGCATCCCAGTTGTAGCCCTTTCCCTCATTTCCTCATCTCCTCCCTGCCCCTTGCTAAGTCCACTGATAGGGGAGGTCCTCCTCCCTTCCATCTGACCTTAGCTAATAATCCATCAATTCCAAGTTGTATCACCCACAGACTCATGGGTGGGGAAGAATCTACTGAGATATGATAAATCTACGAGGAGTCATAGCCTTAAAGAAAATGAAATCTTCTTTCTCTAAGAGCCATCACCTGGCTCCCATCCGTGTACTAACTAGGCCTGACATTGTTTAGATTCTAAGATCAGACAGTGTGCTGGTTTGTTTTGGTTTGGTTTTTCTTTGTTTGTTTGTTTGTTTGTTTGTTTTTAAGGTCTTCCCTGAACTCAGGCTCATATAATTTTCCTGCCATCCTCCATGAACTATCACCTGATGTTTAAAGAAGGGGGTGGTGATATAGGTGTCTCAGTTGTAAATCCATTGATGCTTATTCTCTGCGTTTTAACCCGTTGTGCTTTTTTGTCTTAACTACTGTTCACTACACAAAGAAACATCTCTGATTTGATCCAAGAGTTGTACTCATCTATAAACATGGATAACATTTTAATACTGTATCTAATAAGCATAATGTTGGTAGTAGGTTTACCCCTGAAGACTATGGGATCTCAAATAATTTGTTCTTGGTCATATGTACAGTAAAAGGCATATGTTTTCTCCCTTGGAGAAGATCTCAATTTCAGTTAGAAAGGGATGGGTTATTTCTATCACATTCTTGCTACTATTGCATCCACAGATACATAGGACTATGCTGATAATTATTGTATGTCACAGGGTTCAAAGCTGGATAAAATTATTCATCACAATACCCCTGTCTCCAGCAGCTTACAATATCTCCCAGTACTATAGAAGCTAGTCAACAGGAAGGAAGCTTCCTGGTACATGCCAACTTGATTTCTTCATGTCCTGTGACCAGTGTCTATGGTATCTTCAGCATAATAAGTGTAACTTGCATTACCATCAAGTTCTTTTGGAGAACCAAGAGCAATGGTAATGGCCTGTACTGTTTGGGGGTATCTCTGAGACATATCTGACCAACAATCCAAGAGCAGATTTAGGCATTATTCTTAGAAACCTATGGCTTCCAGGAAGAGTAACACTCCTTTGTGGGATAACGCCAATTAAACTCTTCATATCAAGATATCCGTCAATCCTTTATCTTACTTATTCCTCCACAAGCAACTCCCTTTGCACTGCTTTTTCTCCCCTGTTGTTAAGGCCCTTCCCAAATACTTCCTTTCAACTAGCAGGGTTTTGTTTTTTGTTTGTTTGTTTTTGTTTTTGTATTTTTTCTTTACCGTTTATTCATTATATTTCCTGGTTGATGCCCCCTCCCTCAAATCCCCCAGTCCCACCCCTCTCCCTCTTTCCCTCATCCCCTTCCCCTAGTCCACTGAAAGGGGGAGTTCTCCATTATTGCTGGGCATATACCCAAAAGATGCCCCACCATTCAATAAGGACATTTGCTCAGCTGTGTTCATAGCAGCTTTATTTATACTATCCAGAATCTGGAAACAACCTAGATGTACCTCAACTGAGTAATGGATACAGAAATTGTGGTACATCTACACAGTGGAATACTACTCAACTATTAAAAACCAGGAAATCATGAAATTTGCAGGCAAATAGAGAGAACTAGAAGAGTTCATCCTGATTGAGGTAACCTAAAACAGAAAGACGCACATGGTATGCACTCACTTAAAGTGGATATTAGCCATACAATATAGGAAAGCCATCTACAGACCTAAAGAAGCTAAACACTAAGGAGGATCCTAGGGAGGATGCTTAAATCGTATTCAACTAGCAGTTTTAATGCTAAGGGTTTATTCATGCCGTTCATAAAAGCCCTATTTTTATTTTCAGAGTCTATATTCTTTGATTCTTGTGGACCCCAGAGCTCTGTTTCCTTTCCTTTTATTTAAAAAAAAATCTTTTATTGATTCTTTGTGAGCTTCACATCATGCACCTGAGTCCTGCACATCTCCCTGTCCCTTCATATCTGCCCTTCTCCCTTGCAACTTCCCCTGCAATAAACACACTGTACACACACACACACACAAATAAATAAATAAGTAAATAAAGCCCAGAAAATATCTTATTGTAGAAGCTCTACTATGTCACAATGTATCTATCCCCCTGTCTACTTACCGTTACTTGCAAATATTCATTGCAACGAGTCATTGGTCCAGTTTGAGGTATCTGGCTTCTGAGACACTATCGGTATTGCATCCTTAATAGGCATCCTCCCTGTTGCCCTAAGTCATGGAGATCCTGCAGCTTTGGATCAGCAGACTAGCCCTTCATGCATCCCAGCCATTCACAGATAGATAATATAGATTTTGGGGTCTGCCAACTCAGAGCCCTGGATCTGGGTCTAGGGGTTAAATGAACTTGTTAGCAGGCTGGCTTTCCCTTCTCCACACCACCAAGGCAAGCTCTCCAGCACTGCTCTGTCTAGGTTGCTCACTGCTGTCATTGGCAGGAGGCATGGTAAGCTTTCCTGCTTTCGTGCCCCCAGGACATGGGATAGCTCTCCTGTGACCCTGTGGCCAGATTTGGTGATGAGAGACCAGCAAGGTGTGGGAGCCATCACCTTTGTGCCTGTGTCACCAATGGCAGAGGCGTGGCAGGGTCAGCTCTCCCACACTCATGTCCTCAGGGTCATTCACCCACAATCCTGTCACCAGGGCCAGTCCCACTGTGCTGCCTGGACAAGAGGCAACAAACTCACCATATTTTCTAGTGGTACTATGAGCCACTGGCATAGACACTGACCCCTGCCACTACATAGCCATGGACTTAGACATGGCCCTGAGTGGTAGCTCAGGCTGAGACTTCACCACGGTGCCAGATGGAAGAGCTGACTCACATCAAGCTACTCCTCTCTGCTCTCGAGTCTCCACTTCCATTCCGCTTCCTAATGCTCAAGCTGCTCCACTTCTTTTCTCTCCCATCTGTCTACCACACACTCACACATTATGCTGCCTCCCACTGCAGGCTGGTCCTAGGGCAGGTAGGCCCCCCAGATGACATCCTCCGAAAAGTGGGTGTCTATGGCCCACTTGTGTCCTGTGCCATAGGGAAGGTCTGTGGGTGGCAATGCAGTCAGCAGCCTCTGTCTGTCTTCCTCCTCCCATGCTTCGCTATGTGGGAGCAGGCAGGGCTCTATGTACCTATGGCCTATCAGTGCCTGAGCAGTAGGGTAGAGGGCAAGTCTCTAGGTGTCTTTCCCTGCCTGCACCTTGTGGGATGGTGGAATGAAGGTCCCTGTCTGTCTTCCTCATCCTGCACTGTGCTGATTGGGTTTGATTTTGATGTGTCCTAGGTATAAAACAACTTTGGCCAGCAAGCCAGGTACTGAGTTAGGATGAACAGAACAACTGTTCTGCTCCTGACTGATCTAAGAACGACATCACCAACAAGGTGTCTCTTTACCCATTACCTGAAGTGGGGGAGGCAGAGCTCTGTTTTCTAATTTAGTAGTTAACTAGCCAAATATGAGCCAAGCATGATGATTTGAAATTAGTCTTAATATACTTGAAACTGAACACAATACAAAATCTAGTATCTTAATCAGAGTAGTTACATTGCATGTTCTCAACTGCTGTATATAGCTGTTCTAAAGAAGGATTAAGTTAAAAATGTCTAGTGCTAATCTAGGGTGACCAAGAAAGATACAACAAACACAACATATTTAACTGATGACTATGAGGTCAGCTATATGAAAGTGTATTCATTCCTGTTAGCTTACTAAATTAGAATAAACTATGTCCTAAATGACGCAAGCACTTCTCTTTTTTAAATTTAATTATTGTTTTATTAATTACAGTTTATTCACTTTGTATGTGAGCTGTATCCTTGTCCCTAGCCCTTCCCAATCCCATTCTCCCTCCCTCATCTCCTCCCATTCCACTCCCCAAGTCCACTGATAGGGGAGGTCCTCCTCCCTTTCTCTCTGAACCTACTCTATCAGTTTTCATCAAGACTGGCTGCATTGTCTTCCTCTATGGCCTGGCAATGCTGCTCCCCCCTCACAGGGAGGTGATCAAAGAGCTAGACACTGAGCTCATGTCAGAGACAGTTCCTGTTGCCATTACTAGGGAACCTACTTGGACACTGAGCTGCTACAGGCTATATCTGTGCACGGGTTCAAGTTTATCTCCTTGAATGGTCCTTGGTTAGAGTATCAGTCTCAGGAAGGACCCCTGTCTCCAGATTTTTTCTTTACTTGTGGAGCTCCTGTCCTCTCCGGATCTTTCTATCTCCCCTTCTTTCATAAGATTCCCTGCACTCTGTCCAAAGTTTGGCTATGAGTCTCAGCATCTGCTTTGATACCCTGAAGAGTAGAGTCTTTCAGAGTCCCTCTGTGGTAGGCTTCTGTCCTGTTCCCTGTTTTCTCCCTCTTCTGATGTCCGTCCCATTTTCCTTTCTGAATGAGGATTGAGCATCTGATCAAGGGTCCTCCTTCTATGCAAGCACTTCTGAAGTCAAGTTCTTGCATGTGACTTTAGGATGGTGGTGTTCTATTCTCATATTCCAAATTAACTCTTTATTCCTCAATTATTTCTTTAGGAATGGTGGCACACTGTCTAGCAGGGAGGGAGGAGAGAAAAGGAGGAAAGTGGATTAGAGGGCACACTAATGTCTGAGAAATAAAACTTCAGCATTTTGGGTTTAAAAGTTCTCACATTGTAAGAAGTTCTAGAGTTTCACTTTAGAAAAAGAAAGAGGCTGCTCAGGGTTGATTTCTGCTTTTTCTGGCAAACTTTAACTTCCTGGTTCAAAGAAAAGACATTTATAAATGAGGCCCACAAGGCTTCTGTGACATCAAATCACTCTTACAGCGCAACATTTTGATGAGTTGAGTGTAAATGAACCAGAAACATGTGGATTAAATTTCCCCCATGGTAGTAAGAGGTTAGAAAAATTGAGGGGAAAATGTGCCTGGGAAAATGCACTTGGGGGTTTGCTGGGCTCTTGGTACTTAAAACTCATTACTATTTTTTTTTTTTTTTGGAGGCAAAGTGAAAACAGAGTCAAGTCATCTCAGCTTCTGCTCTTGTATAAACTTCTAGGAGAACTTGGAATGGAGGTTAGTTTTCTGAGCACTACAATCTGCGTTGAGAGACAACTTTTGGTGGTACTTGCCTGGCAGAATAGTCTTAAGTGGAGTGTAGAAAATGGCTACCGGGGGTGGGGTAGGGGGTCTCCTGTCCTTGTTCCAGTGAGCAAGGTTACCTAATACAGCAGGGTGGAACTGGTTCATCGAGGCTACTAGAAAAAAGAAAGGCAGTGGGATGGTCTCTGCCTTTGTACCTGTAGGGTCTCATTTGTTCCTTTGGGTGCCATTGACAAGTCTGCCATTGGCAAGCTTCATGTGCCTACAGAAGCTCTAGGGAAGACAGGTAGAAGGGGAAGAATGGGAGCAGAAGAAGATTTGGCAAGATGTAATATTATCAGCAATCCAAAGGGAAATGATAACTACTTAGAGGAAAAGATTATTAAATTGGCCCTACACCACGTGACAGTATTCCCAGTGCTTGAAGCCTGGGACTGCTTGAGTTAATCCCAGGCTGTGCTCCACAGCAAGAAGAAAAGGATATTAGCACTTGAAAAGACACTGTACATGGGAAATGAAACGAGAGTTCATCTAAAGTTTCGCTTTACAAATAGGGAATTGACCTCAGCAGGCACCAGGGACGCATGTGGGGCACATACAGGCATTAGGCAAAACACTTTCACATAAAATTTGTCATTGTGGCAGAGTTGCTCAATTAGATGACCTTCTCCCATGCTTTTTCTGACATATGCAAACCAAGAAGCCAAGAGGATTCATAAATCCATTTATCTGATAATTAATAAGCATCTATCAAGTGCATAAACCTTGTGAATGCAGAGACACCGTATTTCTTGAGACAGTTATCTTGAGACAGTTTAGTTTAGTTTAGGTTCATATTGTTCATCCAAATTACTCCTAGAGACAGACTAGAAAATCAAACAAACTTGTTAAAGAGCCCCACCTTGGCTCATTAATAATCTTTGCTTTTATACTTTGTCTTACCGCCTAAAAGTAAACATAAGCAGAGGGAGAGTTGCCTGCTTTGCTCAATCATTTTGTCTCTAGTGAACCCTTGGCCAAAGTCACTTATAGGTAGCTGTATGTTTCATTAGAGGAAACTGACACTGTTAATTCATAGAGACCATATAAATGATTGCTTCTTTTTAAAGTCTTTAATTTAGACATATCAAGTAAAGACATTGTCCCAAAGAAGCAAGTCTTTCTTTCCAAAGTAGGATGTCTCCATATACTGTCCTACAAGAGCTACAGAACCTCTTTCCATGTGTATATCTGCTTTTATTTCAATTCATGGTCATATGTTTCAATGAGGAAATTAAATCTTATATAATAAAAGTAGAGGTATGAAAATACAACACATTAGGATGACCATAAAGGCTTGTTCACTGACCCATGTGCAAACAAAGCAAGACTTCTGGGGAAAGGAACTTAAAGTGGGGCCCTACTAACTCTCAATTCCACATTCTGTCCATGTCACTACTTGAGAAGTTGAGGAGTATTTTTTTCTTTTTTAAAATTGTTTTTTTACTATTTATTTATCATATATCCTGACTGAAGACACCTCCCTCAACTCTTCCCAATTCCACCCTCTCTTTTTCTTCCCCCAATTCCCTTCCTCTAGTCCACTAAAAAGGAGAGTTCTCTGCTATCTGCCCGTGACTTATCAAGTCTCATCAGGACTGCCTGGATCCTCTTCCTCTGTGGTCTGGCCAGTCTTCAGTGCTAGGGGCAAGTGATCAAAGAGTAGGCTCTTAATTAACCAGATTAATCATTGTTCTTAGTAATTGTGTTTGGCCATAGAGATCACAGAAAGAAGTGCTAAAAGAAAAACATCCTCAGACCAAGAAAAATAAAATTCTTAAGTTTCCAAGGTACAGAGAGCTGCAGACCCTCACACTGGAAGAGTATTTCTAACACAGGCTAAGCTTAGACATGAGACATTTGACCTCCAAATACACGAAAGACCAAGTAAGAGATTGATCATGAGCATCTTAGTATCTTCCCTGGGACTTACTCTTTCCTGTATACTGTGAAAGAAAACTAGTTTCATGTTATTCTTACCCATCAGTTGAGTTCATATGTGTTGAGTTTGTGTAAGCGATGTATGTTCTGTTAGAGACTGAACTAAATTTCTTTATGTTTAAAGTTAATGTTGCACTGAACTGTATTATATTAAGGATCATAAATATGAAGGAAATGAGCACCTACTTTTTTATTTCTAATATTTTTATATAGATAAAAAGATGTGAAGTTTCCTGGAAACCCTTATGAAGGGTTTATGTAAGACTAAAAGGATGTAGACAGCCATGGTTAAGAGAAAGTTCTGGAAACAATCTGAGTTTGAGCCAAGGTTCTTGCTGTGCAGATTTGGCCAAGTCCCAAGATCTTTCTTCATCTCAGTTTCTCATCTGTAAAATGAGAAAAGTAATTGTAGTACCATATAAAATTGTTTGAAGAGTAGAATGATTTATTATATGCAAGGTCTCAGAACAGTGGCTGGTGTATAATTAATACCCAGTGGATGGTAGAGGCTACCCTTTTCTTTTCACTAGTAGCTCTACACTTTCTCACTTGTGTAAACTCAAAGTGCTCTTTTATAGTGCTTCTTTACAATTGCCAATTGTGTTTTGACATGTGAATGGTTTTAAAGAAAGGAAAAATATGGACCTTTAAAGTTTCTTTTCTGATTTATTTATTATATTTTCTACACGTAAGTGCTTTGCCTGCATTCATGTATGTGTATCTCATGTGTGTTTGACCTTCAGAGGTCAAAAGATGTCAGGTCCTCTGAAACTAGACTTATAGATGACTGTGGACCACCATGTGGGTGCTAGGAATCTAAGAAATCCCAGGTCCTCTCTAAAAGCACCAGTACTCGTACCTGCTGAACCAGTATATTTTTATATGTTTTATTTTATTTTTACTAATTACAGTTTATTCACTTTGTATACCATCTGTAGCCCCCTTCCCCATCCCCTCCCAAACTCACCCTTCCTCCCTCTTCTTCTCCTATGACCCCCTCCCCCAGTCCAATGATAGGAGAGGTCCTCTTCCCCTTCCATTTGACCCTAGTCTATCAGGTCTCATCAGGACTGGCACCTTTGTATTCCTCTGTGGACAGGGGGAGGTGACCAAAGAGCTAGCCACTGAGTTAATGTCAGATATGGTCCCTGATCCTATTATTCAGGAACCATATTGGACACTGAGCTGCCTTAGGCTACTTCTGTTCAGGGGTTCTAAATTATCTCCATGCATGATCCTTGGTTGGAATATCAGTCTCAGAAAAGACCCCTGTGCCCAGATTTTTGGTTCTGTTGCTCCCCTTGTGGAACTCCTGTTCCCTCCCAGTCTTTCTATCTCCCCCTTCTTTCAG